CTCCAACTCCAAAAAAAAAAAAAGAGACGGCTGAGCGCAGTGGTGTGAATCATCCTCAATGCAGCCTTGAACTCCTGGGCTCAAGCAATCCTCCCACCTCAGCCTCTCAAGTAGCTGGGACTACAGATGCATGCCACCACGCTCGGCTCTTGTTGGTTCTGATCACTGCAGTGTCCCCAGCACCTAAAGCACGGCCTGGCACAGGGTGTGTGCTCCGTCCATCTTTGCAGAGTGAATGCTGACAGAGCAAAGGGGAACAGAAGCCCCTGGAAAACGGTAGGACGTTCCAGGTGAGACAGACCCAGGACCCATCCCCCACATGGCCCCCGATTCTGTGTTGGGCCTCGGATGAGCGCAAGTAGAAAAGCCTGGAATCCAGGGGCCCCGGCTTGGGCAGAAGGCTTCAGAGCCCTGGGGCTGCCCACCTCAGCCTGGCCCAGGGTGCACAGGGTCTCTAGGATCTTGTGCTGCAGCAGGTACTCCAGGCAGGGCCCCGCCTCGCCTGCAGTCGCCTGCTGCCGCTCCTCATACACCAGGATGTCCAGCATCTGCTTCAGCCGCCAGGGGATATCTGTTTTCTTGACTGGGGTATTTTCATCTAATTGAGATCAGAAAACAAGGGTGAGTGGAGTGAAGAAGGCATCCTTACTTGATACTTCACCCTCTCCCGCCAAGTCCTGGAGGGAGAGGGCTCATCTGGGAGACGGTGGGGGAGGCTACTGGCAACCAGGAAATGAAGTTTACGGCGGATGCTTCCCTATTTAAAAAGTCCCTCTGGATGAGGTTCAGCACACAGCCCTCAGAGAGGGATGGAATAGAGCCTGTGGCCCACAGAAGGCTGCTCTAGGCCTGAGCTGCGGTAGGCTCAGGGGTCTGTCACATGACTTAGAAGCTGTCTGTCAGCAGCTGCCTGGGAGAGAATCTCCTGAGGCCTGTTTAAGTCCTTTTTACATCAGAGAAGGCAATCCTGTTTTTGACAAAGCAGGAAAAAATCCACACACCATAGGTTCTGATCCCAACCTGCTCCCCTAAGCCAAGGCCCTGGTAGTTACTTAGTGGAGCTTTTGTCCTCAGTCTCAGAGGGTGCTATGTGTTTTTTAAAGTTTTGGTGCGTTGGGGCTGGCCTTGGAGCACCCCCTAGCTTTTCTCTAAGGCACAGGCACTTGAGCAAGCCAGCCGGCCTCACCCACTTCCCACACCTCTGACTTAGGACCATTCTAATTCAAGGACTTGCCTGGGCATGGGAGCTCACGCCTATAATCCCAGCACTTTAGGAAGCCAGGCTGGAGGACTGCTTGAGCCCAGGAGTTTGAAAGCAGCCTGGGCAACACAGTGAGACCTAGCCAGGTGTGGTGGCACCTAGAGTCCCAGCTACTCAGGAGGCTGAAGCAGAAGGATCGGCTGAACCCAGGGGGTTGAGGCTGCAGTGAGCTGTGACTGTGCTACTGCACTCTAGCCTTGGTGGACTGGGGCTCTCTGTCAAGAAATTGTTCATTTAAAGAGGTGGTTCTCAACTGGAAGACCATTAAGCAACGTCTGGAGACATTTATAGTTGTCACAGTTGGGGTGGGGATGTGTTACTAACATCTAGAGACCAGAATTGTTGCTAAGCATCCTACATCACCCAGGGCAGCCCCCCACCACAAGGAAAGATCCAGTCCAAATGTCAACCATGCCAAGATTGAGAAACCTGGTCTGACGGAACTCTGAGGGTCCCTCAGAGTGCCCAGAGGTCACTTTTTAATTTCTGGGCTGACTCAGGTTAGAAATAAAGCCTAAAGGAAAAGGAAAGGAATAGGCTGGAATCAAATCTCAGTCTAAACTCTAGGAAGTAGAAAGCTAGGGATGCAGGATATGGTTACCTGGCAACCAGTCTGTACCCACCAGTAACGGCATATTCACTACAAAGCAGCCAGTCAGATTCTGTCCCCTCAGTGAGCCATTCTAATAGGCCGATTACCCGAAGCTTTGGCTCTCCGGGGTGTCAGTTTGGGGAGAAGAACCCAGGCATGTCGCATACTTTGGTTTGTATTCTCCCACCCCAGATCTCGGCAAGGGAAACGCCCTTATGTTTGCTCAGAGAAAAGGGAAATTTGTTAAATTTCCTTTCTTTTCATTGGTGAACCGGGGTATGAGCACTTGAGGACTAAAGGCCTGGACGCTTCATCTAGCTGGAAGCTGGGGGTGAGTGGAGCCACCTCTGCCTTGCAGAGTCCAACCAGTAAGACCCCCCAACTTCCTGTCCCCACACAGCCCCTCCCAAAAGATTAGGAACTAAGCATTTGGGAACAAAACTGACAAAAAATAAAATAAACAAAACCAAAAAAAAGAGAGAGGAACAAAGGCAGCCAAGGCTCTAGGTCTTCCTCCTGCCTATATGATTCTGTCTCCATTAGCTCAGTCTCAACTCTGAATCCCGGGGCAGTGGATGTCACCTTCCCAGGACACCTGCGTGGTGACACTCTGCCTACACCTTCCTCTCCATGCCCTCCAGGGTCCCTGGGCTGGGGAAGACCAGACCCCACCTGTGCTCTCGATGTAGTAATGTGTGATGCCCTTCCAGTGCTCCACGAAGGCCTGCAGCAGGTCAATGCTGGGCTCCCGCTGTGGGGAGAACAGAAACACAACCTCAGTGGGGGTCAGAGTGCCGCGGAGCCCGCTGTCCCTGGCCCTCATCAGAACAGACAGCCCACACATCTGCTAAGCGTCAGGTCGGGGCTGGGCCCTGGAGGACACACTTTGCTCCTGGTTTTCAAAGGAACGAATAACACGTTTTCTCTATGACCCACTGGCATTGTTTCCATATCTTCCAAGATCTCCTGGCACTCTCCCTTAACCCCCCACCCTGCTGGAAATGCTGTGTTCCTGCTGTATGTCATGATCCTGTCATGTCCCTGTCCTTGAGGAGCCAAGAATGCTGGTGGGGGAAACACACATAGAAACAGATCATTTCAATACAGTGTGATTATGTTGAAAATAGAGGCACATATAGGAACACAGGAGAGTACCCCCAAAGGAAAAACAAAAGTCAAATGACACAGATGGAAAATGTGGAAAAGACAAAGCCCATTAGTCCCTCTCGATCTGAGTCTACCAAAGTTTGCATTCAAGAAGACAGGCTCTGTTCCCCCAGACAGATGACGTTAGCATACGAATAAAGTGCTTCCATCTTGTGTCCGAGGCTGTGCAGCCCAAACTGCTCCTCAGCCAGCACTGATCCTGTCTGCTCCTTTACTGGCTACTTACATCACCAGAACTCTGGTTCTGCTTCAAGCAAGCCCCTAACCTCCTCCTTTTCCACATATACTCTCTCCATCTCCACACTCTAGAGGCTGGAACTGGCCTTGAACTGAGAACAGCCACTTTCCCTGCAAACTTCTCCAAATAAGGCCATTCCTTCTTCTTCCTTGCAGAGTAAATGTCTGCAGGAGAAAAATGCATAATAAAATCTCCCTACCCACAGGGGCTCTTTTCTACCTCTGGGCCTTTGCTGGGGTGACACTGGGCCCTGTGTCCCCCAACTTGTCTAGATCCTGAGAGTCCCCAGTGAGGCCCAGCTAAGGGCCAGCAGCTCCATCAAGCCCTCTCCAGGTTTCCCGCCTGCTAACATCTCTCTCTGACTCCATGCTCTTCTCCACCATAGAGCTGAGTAACTAACTACTCGTGAAATCATTCATTCATGGAGAGAACCTCTGTGTGTAAGACACTGTGTTAGATGCTACAAGCCATACAAGGATGACTGTGACCCAGTCCTCAAGGAATGTGGCACAGGGAAGAAGACATAAAGTCACACTGAATAAACTACAAGGAAACAGTGTGAAGCCACAGGAAAAGTGGAAAGTGACATCTCAGAAAGGAGGGGTCACTTCTTTTTTTTGAGTTGGAATCTCACTGTCACCCAAGCTAGAGTGCAGTGGCACACTCACAGTCACCTGTGTTGACCTGCTGGGCTCTGGTGATCCATCCGCCTCAGCCTCCCAAGAAGCTGGAACTACAGGCGTGTGCTACCACACTCGGTTAATTTTTTTTTGAGTTGGAGTCTCACTCTGTCG